AAGGCATAATTTTGAAAATTATCTAATTATATGAAAATGAAAAAATAAAAGCTAACTAACATTTACAAGCTATCAAATAAATTAAAAATAATGAAAAAAAAAAGTACATACCCCTCACGATACTTGAAATGACGGAAAGAAATGTTTTCTATATAGGTAACTAAATCTTCATGTCCGGGATGAAAAGGAAGTTGCTTCAGTACTTCAATGAGGACGAGGCAAAGGATAAATTCAACTGCTAAATCTCTCTTTTCTTGAACTGCATCAGCTTCAGTACGTTCAGATGACTCACTAAAAACACCATATTAAAATTTAATGGAACAGAATTAGTTTAGAGAGAGATTTAATAATCGAAGTAGCACCAATGTATAAGTGCGTCGAATCAAGAAAATCAGAAAAAATATTAATAACATCTAAACATTTAAAAATATTGATCATTACTACATTGAATATTTATCTAAAATTGAGGAAGAATATTAACAAACAAAATTCACAAAATATTTATAATAAATCAATCAATTCAGGTTGATATGACTGTGAAAAAAAGCTTCAATAGAAATCACTGTCTATCTAACGTTCTCCCCAGGTCTTTTCTGCCTTATTCACCTTCTCCTCAATTACGCCTAAGAATCATCCACTTTTCAAATCTTCAGTGTTCCATTCAAGAGCTTTATTTTACTATGAATCTTTCGTTTCAATCACTCCATCATAACTTTTAGTAGCTAGCCAACCCTACCGATGCCATGTTCTTTTTATAATTTACATATAAATGAGTGCTAGTCTAGTATGTGCCCATATTTATTCGTTTTTCATGAGAAATATTATAAAAAGTACATAAAATATAAGTTATAGATTTGATATTACTTTAAGTGGATTAGTATAATGAAACAAATTATTTTAACCTCATTTATTTTAAATAAATGACCAAAACAGTAATAATCACAGAACAAATAAGAAACGATAGTTTGTATTGATTTTTTTTTTTCAATTCTTTAAAAACATGTGTTGATTTAGGAACTAAAGTGGGAAAAAACTATATTTTCAGTTCCATAACTCTATAAAAAAATTGGAGATACTTTTTTTTGTTCACTTCTACCTCACCTTTTAGGCTATATGGAGATTTTATCGAGTCAGAGAGAGTGCAGGAGATTAGTGCCGGAGATAAAAACCTCCTTCACCCTGCACCGGGACACGAACTCATGATTATTTTATATCTTGTAAACTTTGTAAACACACGTTAGGCCACTCAGCCATACCACCCCCAACATTGAAAATACCTTCAATCAATATATAATTTGAAGTAATATTTTATAAAAATATTAGAAAATCTATGTCAATCCTCAAACAGCCCTAAGATTCCACAACACTCCCTGTCATATTTTAATTTAGTGTTTGGAGGACTAGCTCGTTAGCAAGAGATGAGACTAAAGAGATTAATGAATTGCTTCATAAGATTCATTTTCTGGGTTCCCTTTTGTTGTTGACTGTATCCTAAGTTCCGACAACAGTATCTTCTTAGTGGCTTTTTATTCCAATCCTTAAGAACAAAAAAAGCTTCCCATATTCTTGACCTCCTCACCTTGCATTCTTCAATCCATCTTAAACAAAAGACCCCAATCTACTGATTATTATTGTACATCAATTCTTATGTAATTGTTCCCTTTAAAAATTACTTTATTTTATATCCTTAGGAATTTCTAAACCATCTTCATATTTAAGGCTTTTATCTAACCTCATTTAAATGCCATTTATTGATCCATCTTATCAATGATCAATCTTCTGCACACATGCAATAACAAGTGCCTATGTATATGCATACTTATTTATTTATAAAATTATTTAGTCTTGGTTTCTCAGTTTATAATCGACTTAAATTTTCTATAATTCAGCCAGACCACTGCTGCTTGACTGGTGCCAGTTTTGTTATTAATTGCTCCAAAATAAAAATAAAATTTGCTTTTAATTGATTGTTTGTTTATTTTTCCAATTTAAAGAAATAAAAATAGTAAGATCATATATCACTGGTTTTATTGATCATCTAACAAATTTGATTTAAAAAAATAATAAAATAAAATAGTTAATCAACCTTTTTCCTTTTTGATCAGTCTTTTTAGATTCTTGAACCGAGGGTTCACCCATCTGACGTTCATACCAAGCAAAAAGAGCTTTAAGAATAGAGGGAAGACAATGTTCAGCAACAGAACCAAAAACACTCAACAACTGGTCAAACTGAGCATCTTCACCTCTTTGTAATGCTTTTGATAAAGGTCTTTCCTAAAAATAAAATAATTGTTAAATGTTTCATGGCTTTTCAAAACTCTTTTTTTGTAAAGTTGGTAACTATATTTTATAAAACATAATAACAAGCACATTTGAAGAACAATACATGTAACATAAAATTGGCTAATAATAAAATCAACTATGATTTCTTGAATATTTTGTAACATTGTCGGTCGGTCCAATTTATGTAAGAAATTTGCAGACATTTTTATTTAAAATCAAAGTATTAGAATAAATTATATCTGACAAGCTGTCTGCTATTCCAGTAATGATAAGCATCTATTTGAATAGGTTATAACTAACTGATAGAGGTATAGATAATCTCTTAAAAATTAGAGATGCCCATTGGATCCTTTAAAACGAGACAATCAAATTAATTACAAATATATTAAAATAATTTTCTAAAGCCCGCTTTTGAAAATTTTGAAATTAGCCCGCTTTTGAAATTAGCCCGCTCAGCCACCTTACCACTATGAAGCTGAATCCAATGGAAATTAAATAAATCAGGTCTCACAATTTCATGAAGATTACTCCAGACATCTGCTTCATTTCCTGTTTAATATCTTACATTCACTTTAAGCATGAAGTATGAAAAATCAGCCAAAACTAAAGCATATTCTTCATCCAGAGGAATCCATTGTCAATGCTAGCTGGACTTTGATATAGGTTTCAAAGTAATATTAATTTAACCATATATATGAAATAATAAATATACTAAATTAACATTGCCAAAACTACAAGGAGAGAATAATTGCAATATCCATTAATAATAATAATAAAAATTATTTAGGATTTTCATTAATAGGTAATAAGGTACTGCTTCATAAGTATAGCTCCATTCTGATGATTAGTCACAAGATCTCATGATTACACTATAAATGAGATCCTGAGAATGGCTGAGTATTGCTGATGTGTTCACAAGAATGAACTCCTTAATTTAGATCACGATTTATAACTTACAACCAAAATACACAACTGGTCCTTTTCCATTAAAGTTAGGGCCCTTAATTAGTTTTAATAATTGTTCTTCACTAACTAAAAAGTGATAAATAAACAGATTCTTCTTTTCCAGTTGAGGTTGAGGCTTTATCAGAGGATTCTGTCACCTCCGCCTACTTTCAACATACTCGGCTATTTTGGGAATTCCATCGACAGTGTGATTGATAGATCTTGCGCCCATTCATCATGGAGGAACCAAACTTGAGAAGTAACACAAATTTTATTAATAGCTTGTTAATCATTTTGTAATTAGAAAATACCAAAACCTGTGATTCAGCTAAAACTGCCTCAATTTTTCGATCTGCTTGAATTGTAAATTCAGTAAAAAGTGTTTTCATCACAAATTCTCCTGGACGTATATCTAAATCCAGATGTTGAGATGTCCTCTCTTTGTGTGCACCCCATGGCAGCATTGTAACAATGCTTGGAGTACCTCTATCACTTTCTAAAATAATGAAATTGTTATTAGCTAAAATAATGTACAGCAGCTAATTAAAAATACAAAATTATAAGAAATAATAAACGGAGTTGGTGAATTATATACTTATAATACTTAATATTAAATTAAATAATGGAAAACAAGAATGAACAAAATTATAAAAAAGAGAGAATCATTATCACAAAAATAAACCAAAACAGATAATTTTAACAAATAGATTTTTAAATTACTTCTAAATCTAACTGGAACAGAGAAATTTAAGAAGAAATGGAAGCTGCCCTTTGAATTCTAAAATACATATATATCTGATAATTAAAAACCTTTAGACTAACCCCAAGTTACTGATTATTGGGGGAGAAATCTAGCCAAACATGTTAAAAGATAAAAGTTTGATAAGATGTCCAGCAATAGTAAACAATCATGTTGTTCATAACCAGCAATAATAACTCCTCAATTCATATAACTTTCCACTTGTTTGTGATGATCATGTGAATTTTGAATCTTGGAACTCATTAAAAATAAATTCGATGACAAAGTGAATATCACCATTTCAAGACAAGGCTATCACTCGGATATAAACTGATGAACCTTACCGTAAGTCGCAGTAGGTGCAGTATCTGAAGTGTTTAACTGTTGACTATTCGAATCACTTCCATCACTAGGCCCAAGATTTATGGACTCATTGCCATTTTCACTATCTGAATTATTTCCACTTTCAACTCCACTCTCTGTAAATCAAACAACAGAGCTGGGGTTTTAATCAGTACATAATTATATGATAAGAATTTCAATTAATAAAAGTTGAAAAAACAAGATGAAGAATGATGCAATTTTGGAAAAATTAATAAGCAAAATAATAAAAGTTTTAATCCTGAAATACTCAATTTACTTATCAGATCAGCAAATAACAAAGTTACAATATGACATAGCAAGTTTGGCAAAACCAAGAGGCAGTTGACAAAGAAATTAATACCTTAAAATCTACAAAATATGTTATTAATTATCTTATACTGCATTTCATTTCCTGGTCATCACTATTACTTCAAAAAATACCTTATAAAACTCATTATGAACATTAGGAAGTTGATTCAATTGGTTAATGCCTACTTCAAACTTACCATCAATTTCATCACTATCTATGTCTTGATGCATCATGCTTCTAACGATATATATCGTTTAAAGAGTAATTGATAGACTGTCACACAAAATAGTCTGGTCCCAATAGCCCCTAAAAAAATTATAACTGAGGGTATAAACAAACAATGCTAACACAAAAAGAAATAATGACAACACTTTATCAATAAGTTAGCAGTAAATATATTTTTTTAATAACAAATCTTAAAACTTCTTAAATAAAAAGGAACAAAAAGGATTTTATTTACATTGATTAGAAAAAAACAAGAGTGCAGCATAACCGATAACGTCAACTTCAAATTAGCGAAGGTTCACCAGAAGTTAGGTTAGTCTCTTGTGAATATTCCCGTGGTGGTCAGTTTCGAGATGATAGGCTTCATCAATTCTCATTGATGATAATTTAGCAAATATTCGGTTTGTTTTTTATGATTGTTGTTGTGTGTGATTGTTTTATAATTTATTTTTTAAACTAATCAGTTCAATATAATGATTTCAACTAATAACAAGTCTCAGAATATGTTAGATAGTTTAAAGAAATTCAGATTTGAAAAGAAAACTGATTCTCAAGTTTCAGAAACAGGTACAGAACCTAATTATATACATTTTTTGTTACCATAAGTGAAATATTGAGATATGTCCACATGGGAACCTATTTCAGTCTCATGCCCCTAGTCCTAGCTCTCTAGTAAATTAAGGATTAGTGCCCTTTTATAATTTATAATAAATTATTTTTTGTTTTATTTACAATGTTTTAGGGTCTAACAATACTGAATCTGTATCTTCTGAAGTCCATACAATATCTGATTCAGAATCAAATGATTCAGTACAACAGAACAACCAGGATTCTAATTCACCTAACTGTGGTAATTACATCATTCATGATTCTATTTAATTACATTTTGTGATATCCTTGCTTTGTTTGCATATGTTTGATATTGAATCGGTAATAACGATGCTTGCAATTTTTTATTTCCTACAGAAATTACTTAAATGTGTTGCATTAATTAAACTTGATTCATATTATATTTTTATATATATTTCACATTTTAAGATTTATGGACACATTTACTAAAATAAAAATTATTAACGGAGTCAATCAAATTTATCCTGCAGGATATTAACCTATTTTAATGTTCTTTGTTACTTTAAGGTCATTTCCATGATTTAAATTATAATTTTTGTCGTGCAAATTAGAATTATATTTAATAATAAACAGACTAACATGCAGTTTAAGTGAAGATTGCTGTGATATTATTTAATTGGTTTATTTTAAGTGTTAACAGTCTGTCTCCTTCCTTCGCTTCAGTTACCTGCCTCTTTTAAAAACAAAACAAATCCTCTGTGTTTGATGATAATTTTCATTATATATATATTGTTTTTAATGTCATGTTTTTAATATTTTTTTAACACTGGGGTTTAGTATTGATCATCATAGAAATTAAAATTAATTACTAAGAAACTTTTCTGTTCTTTTTAATACTTCTTATTTACTAACAAGGACAGGCATGTGGTAAACATATAATTTAAATTAATTTCATAGTAATAATTTTATCTCAAGTGTTTATCCCCACAGAATTCTTTTAAGTAATTACCAAATAGCAGTGGCCAATATACACTTTCTCCAAGAGTAGGGATGATGTTTCAGCATCCATTAATGTGCAAACTTTTGATTACCCTTTTTGATGATTATTGTTAAAATTGAAAATGATAAAAGGTTTAAATGGCAATTTTAAAAACCAGAACCGTACTTTAAGACCGCTCTTTTCATAGAAATATCAAAATGGCGGATAGTTCGTTAGACTCCATTTAAAGCCCGTCCTTTTAAAATGTTTGCGTCTTTATTTCTCAATTTATTATACTAAGTTTAGTTATAAAAATATTTACACGAATACGAAGAACTTATACCAATATTATTTCGAGAATAAATATTTTAAGAGGCTAGCTGGGTTATAAAATGAAACTTTTAAAACAGTTCAATTAAAATACACTTAGTAACGTAATACATAAGATATTCTTTGATAAAATCGTTTTTATAATTTTTTTTTTTGTTTATTGTTAGTATCTAAACAATAATTTAAAACAGTTTCTTTGTATTCAATATCAATGTTTAAATGTAATTAATACATCGTTGACACGGAAGGGGGGAGGTTCTTAAATAAAAACTTGGTTCTTAAGTCCAAATCATAATAAAAATTTATTGTTATATACTATAATTAATTTTACATAATGATAATCTGGGTCAAATGTTAATCAGGTAACTTACTATTCAGCTGAAATAAGGCGCGTTTTTAAGAGCTACTAATTTGATATCTAATTTGTAACTTAAATAATAACACAGTTTTAAGACTTTTGTACTAGTAGTTTTTACACAATCAAGCAGCTCTTTTTCAAAATGCTATAAAATTTATTGAAAGTTACATTTATATAATCGAAGTAGTAATTGAAGTTAATTTGCTGAGGCACAAGATTAACCTTTGTCTTATCAATATAACTTTTTAATATTGATGCCTCATTAAAAATATAATTTTCTTGTTGTTTATTATAACTAAGTTCAAACAATGGTGGTCGAATTGTAACAAACATTAGAAAATAAACAAAAATAATATTATACTCATACCAGGTGAAATAACTACATAACCGCTGATAACCGTCGTATATTCTCTTTCTGTTCTGCCATTCCCCATTTTAACATACCTTCTTTCCAAAAATCGGGACTGTCCCGTCAAAAGAGATTTTATACTATAATTATAAAACGGATTATTATAAGGGAAAATTATTATTGATGATAAATGATTATTATAACGGAAAATTATAAGGATATTGACTGTTCACCTTGAATTAATAACACAATTTCACCGTTTGCTGCTAATTTTTAATAAATGTCGATTTTTTATGATTCATTTTTCAAAACTATAAATATAAATTTAGTAACTTCATATATCGTCGGCACCATGTTAAAGTAACGAAAGTGCGAAGTTAAACAAGCTCATGTTCCTTACTTTAACATGGTGCCTACTGAGTATGACCGGCAACAATTTTTTTTTTGTCACCATTTCTTTTCAACAGCGTTATTATATTGACAATGTTCTATAGATTATTTGTATCGTTTCTTGTTTAATATCGAAAATATCATAGAATATAATAATGAACACTGCGCTATTAGCAGTACCTACAATGGGGCAGCATGACGCAAGTTTCGCCCTCTTAATTTTTGTCGGTTTTGAATTTTACGGGTTTTGAATTTTTTTAATGAACCACATTAGAAACATTACAGTTTCACCCTCTTAATCTTTGTTGGTTTTGAATTTTACGGGTTTTGAATTTTCTAATGAACCACATTTTTGTGGGGTTTTAATTTAGAGGAACTTTTAAACAATACAAAGCACATTCACGTATAAACTATAATTTTTATAATTATATTTTTACTTTCACAGTTTTTAAGAAAATTAGGACGGTAAAATTTCTTGAGAGGGGATGGTGCATGTGATCTCTTAGGACTTAAAAGCTCTTACACATAAAACGCCATATGTTAGGGCGATATGAAATTCCTTTACCGGTATCGCTGCGGATTATAACACTCTGTGTTACTGCTATAGCGCAATAGATAGTAATACAACTATATCGTCATTTCGCCAGGTCGTATCAGTGTGCACCTTTACTCAGGCTCCGGCGTGAGAGCTTTACTTCTATTTCAATTTCATCATCTAAAGAATTATATTTACCTATTACTTATTTTAATTTTTAATAATTTTGTGGCCTATGCCGATGACACGTGTATCCTATCAGTTAACAACGATCCATCAGTGGCATCCCAAACTCTCCAATCACACATCACAAATCTTGAAGAATGGTGTCAAAACTGGAGGATTAAAATAAACTCCAATAAATTCCATCAGATTACCTTTACCCTGCGTCGCAAACCTATGACCTCCTGTCCTACAGTATTCTTTAACAATTCCCCACTTATCCCAGTTGAACAAATTCGTTACCTAGGACTCCACCTCGACAAACGACTCAGATGGAATCCTCATACAAGACTGAAACGACAAGAAACCGCTCGACGTTTCCGACTACTCCAATACTTACTAGACAAACGCTCTAAGCTTTCACTCAGTTACAAACGACTCATATATATGACAATAATAAGACCTATTTGGACCTACGGAATTGAGCTCTGGGGCTCCACTAAGCCATCGAATTCCTCTCGTGTCCAATCCTTACAATCCAAAATCCTTCGTAAAATCCTCAAAGCTCCTTACTTTGTCACAAACAAAATCATCCATAAAGACCTTAATGTTCCATATGTTTCCGATTTGGCCCAATCCAGATACCTATCCTTCCATAACAAACTGCAGAACCATCCGAACCCTCTTGTTTCAAACATTGCTTCCTCCTCTATCCCCGATAACCCTCCGAGGCGTCTGAAAAGAAGATGGCCTCGGGATCTTCTAATATAGAACTTTAATTTGAGTTCTACCAATGGGTAGTTTCTCTTCATATTTTACATGTCATGTTACCAATGTTACATTTACCTGTTGTATTTTTAATCTAATACAGTTGTAAATTTCAATAAAATTATAAATAAATAAAAAAATAATTTTGTGGAAATGTAATATATTTATTACATAGTTAAATTAGAAATTCTGGTCTCTTTTAGTATTAGTATTTTTTCAATTGGAATATCCTTTTCTTTTCTTTTTTTAGTAATAACATAATATAGTTTGATATATATTTGATAAATATGTATTACGCAGTCATTATAAAGTTTTTATTATTGCCGACGTTTCAACCCAAACGTGTGGGTCATCCATCAGGGCGTGGTTCGAGCACTGAAGGTATTCAATTACTCAATACGCAAGTCGGCAATAATAAAAACTTTATAATGACTGTGTCCTGAGTATTTATCACCCATCACTAGCGGATCCAGGATTTAATTTTTTTTGGGGGGGGGGGCTTCAGCCCGAAACATTTTTTTTTTCATAAAAATAACGATAATTACTTTGGAAAAACAGAAAGAAACTAACTACCTATATTAAATGGTGTTTAAGTTATTCCTTAAGTACTTTAAATGTAATTACACGAACAATAATACTTTAAGAGGTATTTTAAAAAAAAAAAATTCCCATAAAACATGGTTCTATTTTTCCATTTTGGGGGGGCTTCAGCCCGAATGCCCCCCCCCTCCTCCCCCGTAGATCCGCCCGTGTCACCCATGATATGTAGAACAGTCAACTAACTTCCTTCAATTATATAGTTTTAATAATGTTTTAATCTATAACTTTATTATTAATGACAGGGCTAACTTAAATATCGTTAATACCACTACCGGATCCAGGATTTAATTTTGGGGGGAGCTTGAGCCCGGAAGTTTTTTTTTTTCATATATATAACTATAATTACTTTGGAAAAACAGAAAGATACTAGCCATCGATATGATATGGTGTTTAAGTGATTCTTGAAGTACTATTATATGTAATTAAACGAGCAATAATACTTTAAAACATAATTTTTTAATATTTTTTACCATAAGACATGGTTACTGAATACTTTACTAAAAACTGAATACTTGATAGCAATTTGTAACTCAGGACTTACCTATGACAAAAAACTTAGTTTTATAAAGCACTAGCGGATCCAGGATTTAATTTTTTTCGAGGGGAGGGAGCTTCAGCCCGAAAGTTTTTTTTTTTCATAAAAATAACAATAATTACTTTGGAAAAAAGAAAGGAACTATTTTCCCATATGAAATGGTGTTTAAGTGATTCCTAAACTCCTTTTAAATGTAATTATACGAACAATAATACTTTAAGAGATAATTTTTTCCATAGAATATGGTCATATTTTCTATTTTGGGGGAGCTTCA